GTATATACCAAACCTATGGTAAGTTCTTTTTTTGCACAGCATAGTAGGTTAGTCGGATCTTCATGCAATTTTCCATTGTTTTAAACAGGTTATTATTTTAGATTAATTTTAAGAACAAGTCATTGAGGTGGAACAGAAGATTATTAAGAAATAATAACCTACTGTTTCAATTCAGTGACCATAATAATAACCTGCTAGTTCTGAAACTGTGGAAAAGTATGCGCTCGGTTTATATTTTTTAAAAAGGTCTCGAGGGTCAGCGATTAAGCTGTATTTCTTTTCATGTTGCATCTTTCTTTCCAATAATTTTGATGTGAGTTTTTTGGTCTCTCTGACAATTCTGGTTTGGTATATATTCCAAGACAAGTGCATGTTGTATTTAGTTATAAGTTAAACGTCTCCAGGCCTCAAAAAGAAAAAATCAGAATTTAAAAGAAGTTTACGCTTTTGAATTCAGTAAAGAAAGTTAGGTTTCGAACACAAAACAAAACCTAACCAAGAGCTAAATTCCTCAGCGTAAACCAACAACAAAAAATACACCCAGGAGTATCGCAACAAAAACGTAGCCAAAAGACCACAAAAACCAACTATCCAAGAGAACACAAAAAAGCACAAAAGGTAGGTCAAAACAGGTAACAAGGTAAGTTCATTTATATTGTTTTTTATTGAGCCCTGGGGACTAAGTGCTCCGCCCAAGGGGGGAGAGCCCTGGGGACTAAGTGCTCCGCCCAAGGGGGGAGAGCCCTGGGGACTAAGTGCTCCGCCCAAGGGGGGAGAGCCCTGGGGACTAAGTGCTCCAAGGGGAGAGCCCTGGGGACTAAGTGGGGGGAGAGCCCTGGGGACTAAGTGCTCCGCCCAGTGCTCCGGGGGGGAGAGCCCTGGGGACTAAGTGCTCCGCCCAAGGGGGGAGAGCCCTGGGGACTAAGTGCTCCGCCCAAGGGGGAGAGCCCTGGGGACTAAGTGCTCCGCCCAAGGGGAGAGCCCCAAGGGGGAGAGCCCTGGGGACTAAGTGCCCGCCCAAGGGGAGAGCCCTGGGGACTAAGTGCTCCGCCCAAGGAGAGCCCTGGGGACTAAGTGCTCCCCCCAAGGGGAGAGCCCTGGGGACTAAGTGCTCCGCCCAAGGGGGAGAGCCCTGGGGACTAAGTGCTCCGCCCAGGGGGGGAGAGCCCTGGGGACTAAGTGCCCCGCCCAAGGGGAGAGCCCTGGGGACTAAGTGCTCCGCCCAAGGGGGAGAGCCCTGGGGACTAAGTGCTCCCGCCCAAGGGGGGGAGAGCCCTGGGGACTAAGTGCTCCGCCCAAGGGGGAGAGCCCAAGAGCCCTGGGGACTAAGTGCTCCGCCCAAGGGGGAGAGCCCTGGGGACTAAGTGCTCCGCCCAAGGGGGAGAGCCCTGGGGACTAAGTGCTCCAAGGGGAGAGCCCTGGGGACTAAGTGCTCCGCCCAAGGGGGGAGAGCCCTGGGGACTAAGTGCTCCGCCCTGGGGGGAGAGCCCTGGGGACTAAGGGGAGAGCCCTGGGGACTAAGTGCTCCGCCCAGGGGAGAGCCCTGGGGACTAAGTGCTCCGCCCAAGGGGGAGCCCTAAGTGTGCTCCGCCCAAGTGGGGAGAGCCCTGGGGACTAAGTGCTCCGCCCAAGGGGGGAGAGCCCTGGGGACTAAGTGCTCCGCCCAAGGGGGAGAGCCCTGGGGACTAAGTGCTCCGCCTGGGGGGGGAGAGGGGGGAGAGCCCTGGGGACTAAGTGCTCCGCCCAAGGGGGGAGAGCCCTGGGGACTAAGTGCTCCGCCCAGCCCTGGGGGGGGAGAGCCCTGGGGACTAAGTGCTCCGCCCAAGGGGAGAGCCCTGGGGACTAAGTGCTCCGCCCAGGGGGAGAGCCCTGGGGACTAAGTGCTCCGCCCAGGGGGAGCCCTGGGCCCTGGGGACTAAGTGCTCCGCCCAAGGGGGAGAGCCCTGGGGACTAAGTGCGCCCAAGGGGAGAGCCCTGGGGACTAAGTGCAGGGGAGCCCTGGGGACTAAGTGCTCCCGGGGGGCCCTGGGGACTAAGTGCTCCCCAAGGGGGAGAGCCCTGGGGACTAAGTGCTCCGCCCAGGGGGGAGCCCTGGGGACTAAGTGCTCCGCCCAGGGGGAGAGCCCTGGGGACTAAGTGCTCCGCCAAGGGGGGAGAGCCCTGGGGACTAAGTGCTCCGCCCAAGGGGGGAGAGCCCTGGGGACTAAGTGCTCCGCCCCCAAGGGGAGAGCCCTGGGGAAGTGGGGAGAGCCCTGGGGACTAAGTGCTCCGCCCAAGGGGAGAGCCCTGGGGACTAAGTGCTCCGCCCAAGGGGAGAGGGGGACTAAGTGAGCCCTGGGGACTAAGTGCTGGGGGGGGAGAGCCCTGGGGACTAAGTGGGGGGAGAGCCCTGGGGACTAAGTGCTCCGCCCAAGGGGAGAGCCCTGGGGACTAAGTGCTCCGCCCAAGGGGGAGAGCCCTGGGACTAAGTGGCCCATGGGGGGAGAGCCCTGGGGACTAAGTGCTCCGCCCAAGGGGGAGAGCCCTGGGGGACTAAGTGCTCCGCCCAAGGGGGAGAGCCCTGGGGACTAAGTGCTCGCCCAAGGGGGGGAAGAGCCCTGGGGACTAAGTGCTCCGCCCAAGGGGGGAAGAGCCCTGGGGACTAAGTGCTCCGCCCAGGGGGGAAGAGCCCTGGGGACTAAGTGCTCCGCCCAAGGGGGAGAGCCCTGGGGACTAAGTGGGGGGAGAGAGCCCTGGGGACTAAGTGCTCCGCCCAAGGGGAGAGCCCTGGGGACTAAGTGCTCCACTAAGGGGGGGGGAAGAGCCCTGGGGACTAAGTGCTCCCCCAGGGGAGAGCCCTGGGGACTAAGTGCTCCAAGGGGGGGGAGAGCCCTGGGGACCCAAGGGGGGACTGGGGAAGTGCTCCTGGGGCCTAAGTGGGGGGGGAAGAGCCCTGGGGACTAAGTGCTCCGCCCAAGGGGGGGGGAAGAGCCCTGGGGACTAAGTGCTCCGCCCAGGGGGGAAGAGCCCTGGGGACTAAGTGCTCCGCCCAAGGGGAGAGCCCTGGGGACTAAGTGCTCCGCCCAAGGGGGGAAGAGCCCTGGGGACTAAGTGCTCCAAGGGGAGAGCCCTGGGGACTAAGTGCTCCGCCCAAGGGGAGAGCCCTGGGGACTAAGTGCTCCGCCCTGGGGGAGCCCGCCCAAAGGGGGACTGGGGACTAAGTGCTCCGCCCAAGAGCCCTGGGGGAAGAGCCCCCAAGGGGGGACTAAGTGCTCCGCCCAAGGGGGGAGAGCCCTGGGGACTAAGTGCTCCGCCCAAGGGGGGAGAGCCCTGGGGACTAAGTGCTCCGCAGTACTGATACGCTCCTCTTTTTAGACGGGGAGGATTCCGAGAATCCTTGGGGACCCAGGGGTAACTAGTCTGGACGATAGAATGTTCGTGGTTAAAGTTTTACTATAGAAGCTGCCCCTGGTTCTCCGAAGATGTAATATAATGGGAGTATTGTCTATACGGATATGGTATCAGTCTCTTAGCTTCGTTTGCTTGATTTGTTATTCTTGCGATTTTTGCCAGTCAGTGTCTTGTGAAATTTGTTGTGAAACTTTTTTTTTTCTGTTAAAATAGCGATTTGGTAGGAAGTTTCTGCTACAGCTTACAGTGCAAAGGATGTTGAGTTTTTATTCATTTAATCTTTCGCCTTTCCCCATGGTGGTATTTGCAGGCAATTTTTCAGGCACGGGGTGAGGTTTTGGGTGACCCTGCTGGCCCCACCCTGGAGATTTTCAACTTTCTGAAGAAAAAAGTGACAATTTTCGTCAAACTGCCTGCGTGGGGGAGGGGATTGGCACCTTTTGTGAGGAGTGTTGCGTAGCCTGCGTAGCTAGCGTTTCCGTTTAGTTTCGGAGCAAAAAAAGACAGAGGAACGAGATTTTCGGTTTTGACCGCGCGGAAAATGAAACGAGAGCCAAAAAATGAAAGAAGGGAGAGGGGAAGGAAGGAAACGCTTGCAGACAAGCCCTTCGATTTTGAAAACCTGCGTTCGCCAGCGAACGCAGCGCGTGATTGGCTCGGCTAGTCGAACAATATTGATATGTGTGGATCAAAGGTTTGTTTCATACTGAGAGGTCATGTATGGTACGTGACACGCATCTTCCTGCGGTCGTTGTTTATTTTACCCTCCAATGCAAGAGCATTTTCTTTAACCTCGTTTGAAACGTAAAGCTCTTCTTGCGACTATGTAAGGGTTTCAGGTCGTTTAATTTATTCTTCAAATTATCTCCTGGATCTGAATAACTAAAAGCGATTTTCTTTTGTATAGGGAATGCGACGGTTTGCTACAATGTTTTGTCATGCTGGGCCCAGCTCGTTGGTGTTTTTTTTTTTTTTAGGGACGTTAAATTCTCTCGGACAGTGATTTACAGATTAAAAAAACTGAAGCTGCATCGACTATGGAGAACTGCAATGTGACTGAGTCAAAATTGCTGCTTGGTTCTCTACGCGAACTGCAGGGTTAGCTGTTACAAGAGCACTCTAGTTGTTGGTGCCGTGGCGAGAACGGTAAGCCGTTTCGTCCAGCTGAGCTTTGACCTGCATTGATCGTTTGGATTCATTGAGGATTTCACCATTAACGCCGTCCAAGCGTTCCAAAATACAAAAAAAAAATATTTGGGTTTCACACACGCGCCTCTAAAGTTCATTACCGCTCCTCGGAAGGACAAACATTTTATTGGTCAATCATCACAGCTGATGACAGCATCAAATTCAGGCATGAGAAGCCAAGTAGGCGGTTTTCAAAATCAAGGGGTTTGTCTGCAAGCGTTTCCTTCCTTTATTCCCCACCCCCTCCCCGCTGTTTTACTTGCGCCATTTTTCCCGCGGTCTTTCACTCTCCTTCCTCGTTCTTTGCTCGAAAACCGCACAGAGACGCTTGCTACGCAGGCTAAGCGTTGCGTGACGTTTCGTGACGAGACAATGGAGAGAGCTCTCGAGTGGCGGATTGGAAACGAAAATAAAAGTTGACAGAAGAAGAAATGCAAGATGGCGGCTGGAGTTCGACCTTGTTCAGGTCATTCGCATACTCATCCACACAATCATACCATGCCGAGAAGAAAAGTCATAGTATCTTTCACCATGAGGGACGAACAAGAACCTCTCCACCGATCAGGAGTGAATGCACTTCAGTTAGACAAAAAAACAGGGCGTTTGTATTCGGCGGGTCGTGATTCTATAATTCGATGTTGGAACACAAATGCAGAGCAAAAGGTATTATGAAATTTCTCTTACTTTTATGTCAACAACAAGAAATAATTATCATTATTATAATTAAATTTGCAAAGGAGGCCATTCTTTTCTAAATATTTTTCGCTGAATTGAAGTTGTGTTTAAATATTCAATTCTATTGTAAGCTTACAAACTATACGTCTTTCCATTAAAGAAAGCATTATTTTAGTCGATATGTCTACAGCACACAGTACTCTTTCAGTTTAATGTTCTGATTTAAGCCTTTAAGACCTTTAATGGGGTCGTTTAGGCTTGTTACTACAGACTATTCCAAGAATTTAGCTTCTAGCTTCTGCGCTATATTATCGTTTCCATCAGTCGTAAACTTACGTACAGTTAAGATTACAAGACTTTTTGCGTGATAAAATGTTTCTTTTCTCCCTGTAGAACTGTTATATGGCATCTTTGGAGCACCACACGGACTGGGTGAATGATATAGTTCTTTGCTGCAGCGGTAGAATAAGTAAGAAAATTAAATAGTAGTTGTATTTGATTGCTTTTAGAAACTGTCTAAACCATTCGATCACATTAATTTTGGTGCCTGATAGTCTTTATTAACAACATGTAATACTAAAACAATGACATACTTGATTAAAACCTATTGTAAACTGCCGTATTTATTCGATTAACCGCCCTGGGCGCTTATTAAATTTTTGGACCTTGAGAGTGGGCGCTTATTCAAGGTGGGCACTTATTCGAGGCTGGGCACTTATTAAATTTTCACCATTTTCAACAAAGTGAAGTATGTTTATTTTGCAACAAAACAACAAATGCTAATATGTAAACTATGTAAACTATATGGAAAAGAATCTTAATATAATGAATCGAAACCTTGATATCGCAAACAAATTTTTCCAGTCCCTTGGCCGTTATTAATCACAATGAGGTTCCACTGTACATGAAAAAAAGTTCAAGAACATAATGCTGCCAACACACTATCCTGCTCATGCAAAATCAATTTCCAGATTGACCTTCATGATCTATATTTGTACAAATTTGTACCCTCAGTATTGTCAGCATCATCTGATACAACAGTCAAAGTCTGGGACTCAGCGCGTAGCTTCTGCATGTCGACACTCCGCACCCATAAGGACTATGTAAAGTCACTGGCTTATGCCAGCAGCAGGGAAATGGTAGCTTCTGGTGGATTGGACAGACAAATTTTCATTTGGGATGTCAACACTTTAACAGCTCTTACAGCCACAAATAACACAGTCACAAGTAAGTTACATTTTCTTATTTAATTTTTTCCCAAAATGATAAAATAATTTGATTTGTTTTGCTTTTTGCCCCCGCAGGGATTTTGCCCAGAAGGCAAAATCCCGAGGAGGCACTCTACGACTAGTAACTTGCATGTATATTAAGGAAAGTACTTACAGTTGAAATATACAGTCATACAGTCAATATAGAAAAAATCTTGATTTGCTTGAACAGGGGCCGCGAGGAATCGGTAGGTAATGATGACGTTTCTATTGTTTGCGTCGGTAAGTACGAAATGGTTAGGATGACGTAAAGACAGAAAATCCCCAAGGGACTGCTTAGGTATATATGTAGATTTTGTGACATTTATTGTGCAGTCATACTTCGACACTCTTTTGCGTTACCTGTTATCAGTCACATTCTGTGGAGCAGTTGTTTCAGTGAAAGTTATGGACCAAAATTTTAATGACACTCGTTAAGCGCAGAAGAAGTTATAAGGTGCGTATAACTGTGTATATATAAACACTTAAAGAGTTTGGTAGACATGAGTTCACAAATCTTTCATTGGAAACCTTTAATACCAGACACTCTTTCTCTCTCTTTGACCGGAATAAGACTCAGCCCCAAACAAGCAAGACGAGTGAACAACGGCTAGCTTTTCACTAGCAGAACGATGGACGATTACAGAGATTCGCCGACAATTAAATTTTGTGCTGACTTATTCCCTGCTCACAGATGTTCTTCTGCTATAAAGTTTAAAATAAGACTAGAATATGTGAGTATGAATTGATCAAACGTCCTTTTTTAAATTTCTAAGGCTTCCTTTCCGGCAAAAAAAATGAACTGCGTGTAAAAAGTGAAAGAGAAATGGCAAAAAATTCAACTTCTATTTAAATCTTTTCTTAGTTTCTAGAATAAACTATTCTCGAAACTGAAAATTTTTTTATCAAAGCTGTGTTAAGTCGACCTGAAACTGTGCATGGAACCTTGCATTTTCCTGTATTTATCTCACCTATTGTATGGAATATGTGTGAAAATCTTCCTTATGAATCGGTATATTTCAAAGAGCTACACAACGAGCAAGAATGCTATTGACCGACAATATACAGAGCGGGGGCAGCTGTAGTGTCAACTATTACTAGTATTAGAATTGAAGTAGTATGAGATTGAATAAGAGACTCGTACACTGAGACACTCCTGAATATAGAGGGGGTGACTGAAGTGATTTAATTACAGTGAACCCCAGATCGATCATATTATTCAAAAGTACATGCCTATTGGTGTACACCTTGATATTAGTCTCAGAGGAATGACCTCATATTGTCTCTGAATCTAACCTGCTTCTGTGCTATATGAATACCTGTTTATGTGGGCAGTTGACACTTTTTTTAGTCCAGTTACTGAGTTTTGATAGAAAATTTGGTTTTGCTATGTGCCCACGACATACGAAAATGTTTGTTTTATTACGTTTCACTTCTTTAGAGGCAAATAAATGTTTTGCATGCCAGCATATGGATGTTCACAGCTCAAATCAGGCAAAATACCCCAAAGTCTTTCAGACATCAATAAGTGCAGAATATTAATTTTCATAATTGACAACAAATACCCGTACACGTTATAATCTGCCAAATGTATAGCTTAAATAAATAATATATGTGTGTGTTAAGGCAACTTTGGCATGTTCTCATAGACTTTTGCCATGAAGCAAGGACTATTTTACTTTGATTTACAAGAAGAGTCACATGTACATGTAATTTGTTGATGCTGATCTATCTGTATTCTTAAACTAATAAATATTTTCAGAACCGACTGTCTTCTCCTTAGTCTTAGATGTATTTTAATACATTTTAATACTATTATTAATATTTTAATACATTTTAAACTAGTTAAAACTAGTCAGTGGTCATATAAACAGGGCAGTCATAATTACGAGGATGTAGAAACGTAAGGGAATCACTGACTTTTGTTTTGACCTGATATGAACATAATACAGGTACATACATGTACAGGGTAGTAGTGGTACAAATGTATGTATTCTCTATCACTGAAGCTTATGCACCAATGTCATGTGGAAAATACCATAAACAGTCTAATTTGTTCTTGAGTGAAAAAAGTCTATTTATTGTTCTTTATAGATGTTATACAATCTAGTTACATGCAATATAAGAATTGGTATCATTTTTACCAATATTAATCAGTGAATGGTTTATTGTTACCGCAGCTTCCTCATTAAATGGGCAAAAAGACTCAATCTACAGTTTGGGATTGAACAGCATGGGTACTGTGCTTATTTCCGGATCAACTGAAAAGGTACAAAATCCCTTGCTTAAAATGTCTATATGCATTTGAGAATTTTAAAATTTTATGTGGAAGAAACAAAACGCTGGTTTTTTACTAATATCTTCTAACCACTATTTGACATCTTCTCTGAGCTATAATTGCCCACTCGCAGGCACAAGGCAAAATGGAATCTATTTGTTTTATCCAATGACAGAAAACTTTCAAGAGACACTGCATTCTTGTCACACTTGCCCATTTTTGAATGGTCAGTTTCATTTTTTTCTCTATAGCATACACTGTAAGTTGCTCTTAGAGTAAATTGCCATGTTTATTCTGTAGAGAAAATAATTGATGAAGAATACTAATTCCTCAGAATAATGATGCTATTGCTGCAATCAAAGTACTTGCATTGCTTACAGTACATGTATCATTGTGTTCTACAGATTTTGAGGATGTGGGATCCTAGGACATGTTCAAAAGTGATGAAATTAAAAGGCCACACAGACAACGTTAAATCTATCATAATCAATGCTGAGGGTACCCAGGTAATTTAGCAAAGTGACTCAGAGTAAGAGTGGAGGGTACCTTGCCAGCTGGCTTAGTATGCATGGCCATCAGGCAGAGCTGCAAGTAATGGTCATCAAACCAAAAAAATGTACCATGAGCACACGTGAATTGTTGTACCAATGAAATGATATTGTTCAAAATATTGCAGTGAATATAGAGTGTTTTCACTCACGTGGCCAGCATCTATGCAAATTTATTGGAACAAAAGAAAGCGTTTGCATAAGAAAAGAGGTCAACTCCCAGAGGACTGGTTTGGGACACCAACATGGCCGCCGTTTCATTGTTTTGGGACACCAATATGGCCGTCGTGACGTCATGTGAAAACACTCTATATGGCAGTAATCAGTCTACCTGTGAACCTGCCTCTACTGATATGACTATGCATAGGTGTCATGATTTATTGTGGCTCCGTAATTAATACTAGAGCATTTTACTGTGGCAAATTTTCCGTCATAACTTTTTGGTTTTTAACGCGATGGCTGCGAAACTTTGCAAAGAACAACAGATATCATTTGACAATAATAAGAAATATTCCGATTTCATTGATGGTAAATATTTCTTGAGAAATTAGCGCTTAAAAGGACCCTACTGTTCAAAGAAAATCGCGTCTAGTAAAAAATTTTGCTGATAATTTTTACTGAAATTTCTGGTATCAGCTTTAATTAATATAATAAATATGCCAGAGGAATTTCAGAAAAATCGTTGGAGCAGAAGTCCGTAACTAACACTCGCTCAAAATTCAGCTGTGAAATTGTTTAGGAATTTCAAAACTAAATTACTATCAGGAAGAAGGAGCCACCAGTTTGAATTTTCGGGACAAGTATTTTCAACATTTGCTAATTCTTAAAACAAATGCTGATTGCCTATCGCGCTATTCTTTAAAAGGTACTTTTTAGTTTTAGAAGCACTATAAATTGCTCCAAACCTTGCTCTGAAGTAGAATGACTTGTTCTTCGACAGTTTTAAAATATCCCTTGGCAGTTTTGGCTCAAACTCCTGCTGCATACATTTTAATGCATTGCAATGCATTTTCAACGACTTTTACTGCTGTTCGTTGCTTCCAACTCAGGAAAAAAGTATTGAGATTGGACGCTACCTCGTATCAGAGCTCAGATAGAACTGTCCAGCACCTTCGTTTATGACTACAAAATGAGCACGAGCGGCAGTTCTGTGAGGAATTCGCACCTCACCCAGGGGGGACGAACGACAATGATGCCCATGCCTGTGAAGTGAATAACATCACAGTGCAAAATAAAATTATCGCAAAAATACTGCCCGTGAATAAATTTATAATTCTGAAATTTTTGTCACTCCTTCCTTCAATGAATGGGTATTTTTTTCTTCATTATTATGTTTTGCTCAGCAATACATGTTTATACAGATCGGTTCACAGACATGGGCATCATTGTCATTCGTCCCCCCTGGCTGAGGTGCGAATTCGTCGCAGAGCTGCCACTCGTGCTCATTTTCTGGTCATAAACAAAGGTGCTGGACAGTTCTCTCTGAGCTTCGATACAAGGTAGCATACAATCCCAATACCTTTTTCCTCAATTGGAAACAACGTAAAGCAGGAAAAGCCATTGAGGATGCATTGCAATACATCAAAATGTATGTAGCAGGAGTTTGAACCAAAACTGCCAAGGGATATTTTAAAAATGTCGAGGAACAAGTCATTCGACGTCAGAGCAAAGTTTGGAGCAATTTATAGTGCTTTTAAAACTGAAAAGTACCTTTTAAAGAAAAGCACGATAGGCAATCGGCTTCCGTTTTCAAAATTAGCAAACGTTGAATTTACTTGTTCCGAAAATTGAAACTGGTGTCTCCTTCTTCCTGATAGTAATTTATTTTTGAAATTCCAAAACAATTTCACAGCTGAATTTTGAGCAAGTTTCAGTTGCAGACTTCTGCTCCAACGATTTTTCTGAAATTCCTCTGGCATATTTATTATATCAATTAAAGCCGATACCAGAAATTTCAGTAAAAAATATCAGCAAAATTTTTTACTAGACGCGATTTTCTTTGAACAGTAGTGTCCTTTTAAGCGCTAATTTCTCAAGAAATATTTACCATCAATGAAATCGGAATATTTCGTATTATTGCTGAATGATATCTGTTGTTTTTTGTAAAGTTTCGCAGCCATCGCGTTAAAATCGAAAAAGTTGTGACGGAAAATTTGTCACAGCTAAATGCTCTTGTATTAATTACCGAGCCACCTTAAAATGTGTAATGCATCCTTGATTACGCCTGACCATATTTTTGTTTTGGCTGCCCAGTGTGGTGACTTTTATAGCCAGAGGTACATATATGTCCTTTCAAGGAATTGAAAACTATTTGCAGCTCTTGTAGGTATCACTTGTTGATGACGTCAATATCATTAAGGAGTATTCAATGAATAATCACTTGCTGCAAGATCAATGGCCAATAAAAATCCCGCAAAACTTTTATTTACTGAAGATTCTACTCCTTTTTAACAAGGCCTTACCAGAACCTGGAATAATTATTTGGCAGCATGGCCAAGCGGTTAGAGCACTGGACTTGTAATCCAGAGGCCCCAAGCTCAAGTCCTGCCCAAACCACTCACTAGATTTGTTATTGGTAGTCCTGAGTTCAAATCGTCAGCCAAGCTTGTATAAAAACAGCCAACTGGTTTGCCACCTACAAGTTACCATGTAATGGATAAGGGGAGGGGATAACTAAATATTTAAATCTGAATTTAATTACCATTGTCTTTCATGTTGTAGTGTCTGTCTGGAAGCTCAGATGGTACTGTGCGTCTTTGGTCATTAGGCCAGCAAAGATGTATCACCACATACAGAATTCATGGGGAAGGCGTGTGGACATTGTGTGCAAATGAAAACTTCACAGGATTTTATTCTAGCGGGCGGGACAAAAATGTCATGTGGACAGACTTGAATATGGATGATTCATCCACTTTGTTGTTTGTTGAAGATGCTCCTGTTTTAAATGTAAGTCAGCTGATTAAACTGGTAGCCATACTAGTACAAAAAAGTAGAATTTTTTGCCGAATGACTGATCTGTTAATTGCATTAACCTACCACCATCATTTCAAATCATGGTCACAGCTGTTATATCTCTGTTAGTCACACATGATTTCTGACCAGTGCAGTTGATGGTTGTGGGACAGTTCTATGAGAGTAAAACTAAAAAGCTCCTGATTTATTACAAGTGATCCTAAACCATCCCAGGTGATCAGAAATGTAACTCATGAAACCCTGAAATTCTTGCTTTGTTACCTTAACCATTTGATGAAAGGGTGAAAAATCCATAAATCCATAGCCTGTTTGTCAGGGTGGTTTCTTTGGAGTGCCATGGACGAAAATTAATGAGAAGCATTCTCTTCTCCTGCCCACACCCCCCTGATTCCTTCTTGCACTTTTTCTGCTCTTTTTCTTCAATAATATTAATTTTATGAGAACTATTATACATCTGCTATAATATGTTGTAAAAGAGCATTGAGTTTACCTGATAAAACATCATGTTGCACCACATCAGGTGGTTGCAGGTATCAGGGTATATCGATCCTTTTTGATAATTACACAGTTTGCATACCTGACAACCTCCGGAGATCTAAAATCTGGAGACTCTCTATTTTGCACTACACCCCTCCTTCCACCCCCGAATGTCAACAGCACCAACACCCCCCCGCCCCCCACGCCAACAAATTGCTTTAGGACATTTTATGACGTCTTACATGAAGTACATGGAATCAAAATGCGCTTTCATCATTGTAATGACGAACTAGTCTTTGTCATTGACTAAACATGTGCAAAAAAGTCCCAGAAACTGTACAATGAATACAAAAAGTTCGAATTTTGTGAAACAATGGACTAAATTTCAAACTATAGCACAGAAATCCTCAAAAGTCCATTTTATCCCGGAGATTTGGTGCTCTAACCGGGAGACCGGGAGATGTCATGAAAAACTTGGAGACTCCCGGGAAAACCGGGAGAGTTGGCAGGTATGAGTTTGAGTCAATTCAACACAAACCAAAAACTACATGTGAGGTCAACCTTATTTACTCATTTATTGTTTGTATTTGTGTTTTTCTTATTCGTTACAGCTGGAACTTTGTTCTGAGACGCATTCTCTGTGGGTTGCTACCACAAATTCTACAATAAACAATTGGGTAAGGTTATTATTGTGTAGCAAACCTTTCCAAAATCTCAAGTTCTAATTCAGTTATTAAAAGTGTTATTCAAGTTGATAACTTTGATTTCCGTCAAATATTCAGCCGACACTTAAAACATTATAGAGTTTTCCAGTCATGCTTATGGTAAACAGCAAATGTCAGATTCAATTTGACTCTTTCTCAAGGAGGAAAATATATATACATGTAGATCAGTTAGCCAGAGCCAACAGCAAAGCTCCCAGTTATGCTTTTACAATTTGCTTCAGACAACGACTTTGGGCGGAACCACTGCAAAGAAATCCACAAATCTATTCTTAACCCCCCTTTAAACTTTAGAGGAGGACCAATCCATATGACATTTGACGACTGGCTGTAAAACAGAAACTTGAGTGTGCGATCAATCAAAAGCTTAATTCTGGTAAGCGGAAAACCGCAAAAAACATGTGACCTTGATGATTGGCACTTGAGCCACAAGAAGAAGAGCTTATGAGATGGCATCCGCGTGGAGTTACACTAAGAACCAAAAATCGAGTTATCGTGGTTAATTTTAGTTAAATTTTGATCAAGTGAAAGGAAATTTAGTTCGAGTTAGCGAGGAATTCCAGTTATCCGAGTTCGAGTTAACTGGGTAAAAATCAGACTGAAAAGTGGGGTGAAATCCAAGGGAAATTGGACTAAGTGCTAGTTAGCGGAGAGTTCGATTGGTGAGGTCGAGTTTGAGTTATCGGCTTTTACCGTATGTGTATGAGAAGACGAAAATGATCGGCTAAAATAAAACACAGTCAACCCTCTATGTGCAGCCATCTCTTGTAAGCAGACACCGTTGCAAAGTAAAAAAACATTTCCAAGTCAAATCACATGGTGAGAGGCTCTTGTGAGTGACTGCAACCTCTTCTTGGAGGTTATGGTTGGACATTGTTCTTTTTTTAACCTCCAATAAGTGACCCATGACTTGGCTTGTGTTTTGTAGTCTTCTATCAGTGCAAACGATGCGACATTGTACAAGGGTCTGTATCCATTTCATTCTTGTAACTTTTTGTTAGAATTAGATGAAGTTGATGTCAGTTGTATTTTCTGTTGACAGCCTATTAATTACATCAATGATCAAGAAAATATGGATGTTAATGAATCGTATACAGATCCTCAACCAACCTGTTCAATGCCCAGAAAAACATTGCCAGGTAGGACCTACATATTAGGAAATCCAGCGAGACCACCTGCTACCTTTCTTCTTCACGCCAGTTACAATGTTGTTTCCACTTTTCTCCTTCAGTGGTTCCTCCCCTGAACTACTCTGCTTTGCTTAATCCCAAAATCGACACCCTGCCCGAGGTGTCTCTTGTTTACAGAGTTCATCTTCAAGACCTTTGTGGTCTTTTCTTCTATGTAGGGTTGCCATTAAGGCCGGCCAGGGGCCCGTTTGTCGAAAGGCCCGGTAACTTTCGAATCCGAAAGCAAGTTTTAAAATCAAAACATTTTGAATGGTAGCACAGTTTCTGGCTCACAAACCAGTCAATTCAGCTTCGTTAACTGATAGTTTTATTGTATCATTTTCAAAATTATTGAAGCTTTGGTCTTGAATGCAAACTTATTCTTCACAGGAAACTCAAAACAACTTTCCCGGTCCCGAAAAGTTACCGGGACTTTCGAGAAACGAGCCCCAGGGCACGGGAATTTCCCCTGCCTCCTATGAACACCACCCCGGCGGCTACTGGCGTCATTTGGCGGGAAAACATGATAGCCGTCGTCATTCTGCTACAAGTTTAGCGAGAATTTCGTGGTGACGGAAACAAGTTATCAACGGCAGTAGCAGTTTCATCATAGTGCGATATTGAGAGTGTTTAACCACGCTCAATAGAACTGAGAAACCGCGCTAACTTTTCTGGTGAAAAAAGCACAGGACAATGAAGCTTTCCGGGCCTTACATTTTTAAGAATACTGGGGAAAAAAAATTAAGATCTCGTCATTGTAGTCGTCCTCGTCCTCGCATCTAAAGGTCTGTATTTATGAGGCCTGTCTGCAGCATCTGTTCAGAGCGTCTTAATAGCAGCGGCTGGCCATTGAGTTTACATCCCGTCTCCTTGCTTAAATCAGTATAAGATTCTGGGGAAACTGCCCACCCACCCCTCCCTCAACTCAATAAATTATTTTGTCCTGAGTAAGACGTTAGCGTTAACGTTGGGTCAGGGGAGGGGAGAGTGGGCAGATTCCAAGAATCTTTTTTAGGCTCAGTCGTAGTCTTGGCATACGTTACTGACAGAAGTGATGATCGCGCGAGAATCACGTCTCTGTGTCATGCTGAATATTAAATGTTCACGACACCCTACAGGTCACCCAATCTGGCCTACTTTGTAGCGTCAAATTAATGAAATGTTCTTTCATTTGTATACAGGGGCACCTAGCATAAGAAAATTCCATGTTTTGAGAAATAGAAGACATGTTATAACCAAGGACTCCGAAGATAGAGTCACTGTGTGGGATGTTTTAAAAGTAAGAGTTTTTACCCAGTTTTTGTTTTCCCTTTTTCTTCCTTTCTTTTTTGTGGAAAAAAGTTTGGTATAGTCTGATCATCTTTTGAAGAAACATTACTAGTGTTTATGTGAAATTGCTGTTTATGAAAGAAACGAAACAAAACAAAAGCAAAGAAGCGACTACAACCAAAATAGATGAGTGAATGTGAAAAGCAAGTAGAAAAAGTTTTAGTCAACTTTACACTGTTTCTGTAAGTTTTGAGATTTTGTAATTGAGGGAAAACTGCTCCCCTCGTTGAAAACTGAACAAAAAAGTTGATATCTTTTGTTTGCATTCAAAGGTTTTCTCGACTGATTCGCTGAGGAATCCAAGTTTATAACGTTGGCGTTGAGTCAAATCCCGTTAATACTTACACTGAGGGGGCCATAGAAAGTGTCCGTATTAAGCGGGTTGAATTCGGAGAAAATGTAAGGACTTTATTTCCCTAACGACAAAGCAAACTGTCCATAACAATGAGGTGTCCTTGTTAACTGGGGTGTCCGTTAAGGGGTTTGACCACAGGAGTCTTAGCTCAGTTGATAGAGGGCCAGCCTTGAGAGCAGAAGGTCACAGGTTTGATTCCCGGGGGCAGGCAAAAACTCAGGGTCTTAGAAAAACTAAGAAATGAAAGGTGTCGTCTTCGCCTGCAAACGGTTGGATCTCGTGTGGCTCGGATGACCACGTGGAAATAACTGCCCAGTCTTCAGTAGCAGAAAACACTGCCCTAAATCAGTACTGTTATGCTAAATGCATTGACATTGCTTTTTTTTATGCATAATGTTTGATTAACGGATAAGGGCAGACCTAGGTGTTTTATATAATGCCGGCCGGACTTACACCTACTTTTTTAGTTTTTCGTCAGCTATTGTGAACATATCCGGTAAACACTTTATTGAATATTTATAGGCACGTAAAGCAGAAGAACTGGGCTTAGTGGATTATGATGAAGCTATCAAGAAAAGAAATGAGACTGTTTATGTGCCGAATTGGTTTTCTGTGGACATCAAAACTGGGGTAAGTGGAAACCTCGGGAACGGTTTCATACTGCTCATGTTTCATACTGCTCATGCCGTTAATTTTCTTGTAGATGCTCACAATAAACTTAGACGAAAATGACTGTTTTGCCGCGTGGATTTCAGTCACAGATGTGCCGGGGTTAGAACCTAGAGTTGTAGATGGAAAAGGTGGGTAGTATTTCATTAATTGACGTGTGCTGTTTTGGTTCTGTTTGCTAAAGGAAAAGAAAATCTTCTTTGATAATTGTTGCAAGTTAAAGTGGATTAATTACCTGGTAACGAAAAAGAAGAAACTCATCCTTCTATCCTCTAGTTTTGGCGGATGGTATGGAATATTTTGTTTCATTTGTTTCAGTAGGAATTGTTTTTTAATTCGTGTTTTGTTCTTCTGTTTTAGCCATTGCCTCTGACATCAAACACGGTGAGTAAAAATTGCTAGTTATTTGGGCGTGGCCCAAATAGAGTAATGGAAACGGCTTGTTTTGACGCAAATGTGCAATAGGCACGCAATACGTGCTAACGTAAACAAGGCTAGTAAACAAGCGAAGCGAGGCGAATGTCATGGCACGAATGGCATGTGGGAAAGAAAGCTCTGCTAACAGTAAACACACGGCACTTTATCGCACTTTTACGATCTCAAAAGTTAATCTGAATCTTTAGTATTTTTGCCGCATCGAAATCTGGAAGTCTGAAGTCCATGGATGAAATCTATCAAAAATATTTGGAATATTAACGTCCGGTTTTGGTCACAATAAGATCACAAGCAACAAACCTTGAAACACAGAAACTCACAAAACGGATCGAAATCCACCAATCACAAATCACAAACAATGACCTTTTGAACCAGTTGAAGAAAACTTTCGTTTCCTAAGAGGT